AGATCATTGTCATCAAGAGATGAAATACTAAGCTTTGATTTTTTTCACTAATAGAATGAACATCATGATATCCGTACTGCTTAACTCACAGAACCAATTAGGATGATGTACTGTACATAAAAACCTCAAAAGCACTTTACAGACTACAAAATGATACAGTATAAATTCTGTTACAGAGATCAAAGCTCATTGTAAGACTTCAGAATCATTATGGAAAGGATTAGTTATGTTCACTAGAGTCTGCATAAGAAACCTGGAATATATAATATATTTTATAAAATTTTCATCAAGGTCTCTGTAGCTCAAGGAGCAAAGCATCTGTTACCTGAAAAATTTAGTACTGCGGGATAGCTCATTCACCATAGATAAAAGAGTAAGTCAGGTATTAACCGACATTATTTCTCGGATGTCCAGAAACATGAAGATATGTTAGCATTACATTTATAAGGGATTAGTGCCAGCTCTCTATCACATTCTTTAAAATAATGTCCACTCTTCAGCTTTGGGGTGGGGAAGATTTATTTGTACAGAAGAAAAAATCAATTGTCACTTAAACTAAAACTCACAAAAAAGGTTGATGATCGAGGTAAAGTATCTGTCTCCCGTGGGCTTGGCACTACCTTGGACAAATATGTTGTGTTCGAGATATATATGTTGACAAAATAAGATGTGAGTTACTGATTTTGTTTATGACTCTAAGGAAAATTTTCCCAAAATAGTAAAAATAGTTGCAATTTTCTAAAAAATGGTTTGAATAAGGGCATATTTTTCTGAGTGACCCATATTTGGATATTTGAGTTTTGGTATATTTTAGAATTTTTTTTTATATTACTTCATGGTTATATATTCTACTTCACGTTAGGTCAAAGTAATGTTATCTTATTTACCTTTAATTTTTGTCAATCATTCAGTAAGATTCCATTGATGCATTAAAAAAATCTGTAATTCTCCTCATGTGAAATTAATGATTCATATGATTTTTCTCAATTGCCTCAGCCATTTAAAAGTACAGTTAGTATTCTTACCATTACTTAATTGGATCACAGTTATTTGACAGTAGCACACAGTCCTAGGTAACCCAAATAGCTTAAACTACAAGTGTCTGGCCAGCTGATAGTGTGGTAGTTAAGGTGGCTGAATTTCACATGGCAGACTGTGTGGTTTGAGTCCCACAGTGGCATGAAAAACACACCAGGCACGCATGTCTGTGTGTGTCCAAAATCCCGAAAGGGAAGGGATTGTGGCATGACCATCCCCCCTGGGTTATGCTTTCTCACTGTCCTCTCTCTGGCAAGTACATACACCCAATAGCAAATTGAGAAAAAAAAAAAAATTACAGGTATCATAGATACTCCTTTTCATTAGTTTTGAGGCTTCATCAAGATAGTATGCAAGGTTGAACTAAATGTATCCATTTAATAAAATGCAGTAAAAGGAGATTTGAAGGAGTCTGAATCTGTTGGGTTTGTGGAGAAATCATGACATATTTTTCTATTCAAAATGTATCATGACTTTTCTAATGATCCAATAAGTGAAATAGGCAGGACCTAAAAGGTCTTGCCAAATATGAATAATAAGAACAGTGATTATGAGATTTAATTTCTATACAAAATATTTTAAATCCAATTTCTGTAATAAAAGTCTTTGGACTTTTTTCCCTTTTAAAACTTCTTTATAATGCTGGATATTTTTGCCTAATAGCACTAAATATGTATTATTTAACAAAAAGGGAAAACACTGGCAGTAAAAGCAATTCTAAATAATCCTCTACCAATACATGCTCAGAGGGCACAGTACCATTAACCATTGGGAAAATCAGCATTATATTTCATTATGATTAAATTAGGGTCTTTTAATTTTTTGAGTTCATGGAATGTAATGTTTTTTTTTCCCTTTGAAAGATTTTTTTCTATAAGGCATGTGTGCTCACCAGAGAGACAGAAAGTGAGAAATCACACACACACACACACACACACACACACACACACACACACCCGGGGTGGAGGGTGGCCACGCCACAATCCCTGCTCCATTCTCCTTCCGGGACTTTGGGTGCACAGGGGCCCAGTGTGAGTTTGAAGCCTCTAGGTGTGGGACTCGAAGCACAAGGGAGTCCAGTGCCTTAATCACTATGCCACCTGCTGGCCCCTCTTTTTAAAGATGCTACCTTGGCCTGATAGAATTGGAGGGTGGCATGTCCAGTCTAGTCCAGACCCTCACATTACTCATGAAGACACAGAGATCCAGAGAGTAAGGAGGGAGACCCCTGAAAGCAGTTGTTAGGCAGCAGAGCCAAGAGCACAAAATGTGATCTTTGAAGCAGTTTGAACACACAGGACAACTTTAACCTTGCAGATGTGCCATGCGGTTTTTCTTGGGGTGATAATAGTCTTTTTTAGATTATAGAGATATTTTTATTCCAAGAAGACAATCTAATGTGCTTCTTAGCTGTCTTTCTTATTCCCATGTCTGCCTGGATATTTTGATAATATTAACTCATATTTGTTTAACACTTTCCAATTTTACAAAACATTTTTATATTTTATCTTCTCTCCTAAATCTCACGAGAGCCTTTTCATATAAAGAAATACTACTCCCACCCTATAGATGAGGATACTGGACCTAAAAAGAAATGTAATCATTTTTTCAACTCATGTTAAGTAGACGGCAAAACCAGATTTAAACACAAACCTTCTGACTCCAGAGCCCTGGTCCCTCCTACGCCTTCCAGCTTTCCATAGTTGGAAGTTACTTAAGAAGGATATTTTTCCATCAGATTTGGTCATGATCCATCTCTATGTAATGGAAGTCTCTAGTCAGTCCTTTCATTATATAGATTACAGCGTCCTGAGTTAATAACGGCTGTCATGCGTGGAAGGCCTGCTCTATACCGAGCAGTGTGGCAGGTGCTTATTACACCTGACCCTCAGAGTCTAAGAGGCATTTCAGAAATCAAGTTGTGCTACTCAACTAGTAAATCTTTCCCCCAGGGTTAAAACTTCAGTCTATTCGCCTCCAAAGCCGTTTCAGCTGCGCCCAGAACTTGAGGTTTTCTTAAAGGAGAACATACCCATATGCTTGGAACAAAGTCATTCTCCATGTATTCCTTCTCAGCCACATACGTGGATGTTCACATTTCCACACTCAGATCTCCACTCATTGACACAGTCATTGAGAAAATACTAATTGGCTTAAAAGCTCATGAAACTTAAAAAAGAAAGCTGAGAAGGTAAATGAATAGCTGTATATGCTAATATAATGGCTAGATAGTAGCGTCATTTTTTTCCTTTATAATAATACTAAGTATTCTAACAAAATTAAGATAATCTTTCTGACCCAGCCTTCAAAAATAAAAATGTTTAAGAAGTTTATTCAAGCTTATGACATCACATTGTCTTCTGAGACTTTATCTTCTATAATTTGTTAGGTATAGCATTTTTTTACATTTAAATGGATTTTATTCTGTTTTGTTTTAATAACATTTTGCTTTGGAAATTTTTTTTTAGAAAGATCTTTTTTTCCCTCTTTTTCCTGCTTTTGTGTGTATGCATGTAAGTGGTAAGTGTGTGTCGTACTTTTAGACAAGGTTTTGCTATGTCATATTCCTCCTGCCCAAACCTCCCCAAGGGGCAGGCATATGCCAGCATAGCCAACTCTTTAGGGTGGGCCAGGAATTGAACCAGGACCTCCCATGTGATATGAGCCTACCAAGCAGCAGTTTCCAGTATGTATTATTATTGCTGGAGCTAGAATTTCTGAAACTATTACCATAAAAAGTGAACAAGACTTCTCTTCAGGGCCCCTTTTTTTCCACGAAGTGATTTTGAAAGTTTTCACAAAGGTAATTTTTCTTTGCCACAGGTGTGCGGGAAGATAGCTGTGTGAGCCCTGGGCTGCCCGAGCTCTTGTGGGAAAGACAGAGAGGAGACTTGGGCAGCTGCTTGTTAGCTAAGGAGCAAGGTCTCCATTGACTCTGTGTCTCTGGAGAAGTGGGGCCTCCAACTTCCTCACTGCTGGTGTGAACAGGAAGCAGAGGGATTCGCACAGTGAAAACTTACTCAGGTTTTAAAGTTCTGTGTAGTTCTAGGCGCCAGCCCCTCAGGGCCTTGAAAGGGGCACACTGATGTCTTTTTTTCATTTAGAAAACAAACTGTGTTCAACCTTGCCCACAAATAAGTTCTAGACAGTCAGGCTTTGACAGAAGTACAGCAGTATCACTCATGTTTAAAGTGTGAAATTTAATTTCTAAGCAGGCAGTTCATATCCTATCATTTATACTGTTCCATACCTTGAGGAGTTTAGTATCTTTTTCTTTTTTTTTTTGGAGAGATTTTCGCTATAGGGCGCGTGCGCGTGCGCTCGCCAGACAGAGACAGAGAGACAGAAAGAGAGAAATCACCCCCCAGGGGGGATGGTCATGCCGCAATCCCTTCTCCTCTATTTTCCTCTCGGGATCTTGGGCACGTACACACACGCGCCCGGCGTGAGTTTTAAGCCACCGGGTCCGGTACACGAACCGCAGTCGACTGCATGGGAATCCAGCGACATAGCCATTACGCTAACTGCTGGTTCCCAGGGGTTTAGTATCTTCAAGTGAAGATTTTAAAGGCAGCATAAACTGGATTCTAAAACATGATCTTCTGGTGCTAATCAAGAACACATAGTTGTCAAGTCCAGCCTAGGTGACACAGTAATCCATGGACTATTGTACTGCAGTGCTGACAGCCACGTGGTCATCCACAGTCTGGATCCCCAGGTCTACTTGAAAATATGCCAGGCAAGCACACTGGTACCTAATGTCTTAAGCTGGAGGGCTGGGATCACAGTGTGACAAGACCTTGTGGAGAGTCCTTCCACTTTCTCTCCGTCATTCATGCGCGCATGCATATACTTTCTATCATAAAAAGCAACTACCATTTTTAAAAAAAAACATTATCCTCTGTTGCATTAAGCTATTACATACCCCATTTTGACAATGTATTCTTATCTTTTTGATCTAGGTCGAACTGGAAGGTACACCCTTATAGAAAAATGGAGAGATACCGAAAGACACTTAGCACCTCATGAAAATCCTATCATATCCTTAAACAAGTGGGGGCAGTATGCTAGTGATGTGCAGCTAATTCTCCGTCGCACGGGGCCATCTCTCAGTGAGCGACCCACCTCAGATAGTGTGGCTCGAATTCCTGAAAGAACTTTATACAGGCAGAGTTTGCCCCCTTTAGCTAAACTGAGGCCCCAGATAGACAAATCAATCAAAAGGAGAGAACCTAAAAGGAAATCATTAACATTTACAGGAGGTGCCAAAGGATTAATGGACATTTTTGGAAAAGGTAAAGAAACCGAATTTAAGCAAAAGGTGCTGAATAACTGCAAAACAACAGCAGATGAGTTGAAGAAGCTGATCCGTTTGCAGACAGAGAAGCTTCAGTCCATTGAGAAACAGTTGGAATCTAATGAAATAGAAATACGATTTTGGGAGCAAAAATTTAATTCTAACCTTGAAGAGGAAATTGTCCGCCTGGAGCAAAAGATCAAAAGAAATGATGTAGAAATTGAGGAGGAAGAGTTTTGGGAAAATGAATTACAGATTGAACAGGAAAATGAAAAACAGCTGAAGGATCAACTTCAAGAAATAAGACAGAAAATAACAGAATGTGAAAGCAAATTAAAGGACTACTTGGCACAGATTCAGACTATGGAAAGTGGTCTCGAAGCAGAAAAGTTGCAACGGGAAGTTCAGGAGGCACAGGTCAATGAGGAAGAGGTGAAAGGAAAGATCGGCAAGGTTAAAGGGGAAATCGACATTCAAGGCCAGCAGAGCCTGAGGCTGGAAAATGGCATTAAGGCTGTGGAGAGATCTCTCGGACAAGCCACCAGACGATTACAGGTAAGAACCTTTTCACTGAGTGTTTTAACTGTTTGAAAGGATTAATAAATTGAGCACACACACTTTTTGGCAAAGATATCTTTAAAATGAATAAAAATAAATAGAACAGGGAACCAGCAGTTAGTGTAATGGCTATGTCGCTGGACTCCCATGTAGTCGACCGTGGTTCGTGTCCCGGACCCAGTGGCTTAAAACTCACGCCGGGCGCGTGTGTGTGCGTGCCCAAGATTCCAAGAGGAGAATGGAGGAGAAGGGATTGCGGCATGACCATCCCCCCTGGTGGGTGATTTCTCGCTTTCTGTCTCTATGTCTCTCTCTGTCTGTCTGGCGAGCGCACACGCCCTACAGTGAAAATCTCTCCAAATAAATAAATAAATAAATAAATAAATAAATAAATAAATAAATAATAAATAGAACAAAAATAATTAAAATATTCTTGAAATCTTTTATAATTGCCAATTTCTCTTACACGTGAAGAATTACTAAGGGACCAGCAGATGGTGCAGTGGTTACGTCGCTGGACTTCCATGTAGTCGACTGCAGTTCGAGTCCCAGACCTAGCAGCTTAAACTCACTCCAGGCACGTATGCATGCGTGCCCAAAATCCCAAAAGGAGAATGGAGGAGAAGGGACTGCAGCATGGCCATCCTCCCAGGGGGGTGATTTCTCACTTTCTGTCTCTCTGTCCCTTTGTCTCCAGTAAGCACACATGCCCTATAGCAAAAATCTCTCTCAAAAAAATTATTCATAGAAACCTGCTTTACTTAAAATTTCATAGACCTCTTGTGTCTTATGACAAAGCCTACGTATGAGACTAGAAGAAAGATGAGCACCAAAGCCACACCGACCTTGCTCCACAGCAGAGGCTTTTTGTTTTTGTTGTTGTTTTGTTTGTTAAGATCGTTCTGCCATAGGGCATGTATGCTCACTAGAGAGAGAGAACATGAGATGGAAAGTGAGAAATCACCCACCAGGGGGATGGCCACACTACAGTTTCTTCTCCTCCATTCTTCCTTTGGGACTTTGGGCACGCACACATACCCAGCATGTTTTTTCATGCCACTGGGTCCAAGACTCAAACTATGGTCTGGGAGTCCAGAGCCTTAACCACCATGCCACCTGCTGGTCCTGGCAGAGGGTTTTTTACAGTGGCAGTCTTAGCACTACTAAGTTTTTAGATAAGGAAGAGCTGAATTTCAAAGCTGGAATGGCCACTATGATGAGAGAGTGAATCTGACCTTCTCCTTTTAGAGAAAAGGAAACCAAAGCCAAAAGAGGTCACCAAGGACTGGGTGACTGCTCATCTGCTATTTCTCCATTGTTACTAGCTGTAGCTTCTTTCCTGAAATGTTGGTCATCACTTCCCACCACTGCCCCCACACACACACACACACACAAACTCCGCAATACTCTCCTTTGCTTTCCCAGGGAGAGGGCCTCAAAGGTTTCTCTCCAATTTTTCACCTCTCCATTTATTGCCACTTAGGCCCTGATCAGCTAACTCACATTTCTTAGAGATCCAGTCTTGAAAAGATAACTATGATTGTTTTTATGGGATTTTTAAAGATAGATTGAATAGTCTCTGAGAGAGACTCTCAGATGAAAAAGAGACATAACTGGTTACAATATGGCTATTTAGGTTAATTAAAGTATTATTCAATAAATATTTAAAATATTAAATAATTTTAAAGTACTGGTTTTGATCCCTCTCAGCCACATTTCAAGTGCTCATCGTATGTGGGGGTGTCGCATTGGATAGCACAGACCTGGAAGATGAGCGTCACCGCAGGAAGTTCTCTGGGGCTGGGCTGGTTTAGAAACTTGCTATTCAAAGTGTAGTCCATGCCAGACAGCTTCAGGACACACTTGGAAATTCAGGAGCTGGCAGGTGGCATGGTGGTTAAGGTGCTGGACTCCCACATGGCTGACCACAGTTCTAGTCCCAGACCAGGCAACTTGAAAATCATACCAGGTGCACGTGCATACATGTCCAAGATCCCAGGAGGAGAGTGGAGGTTAAGGGATTGCAGCATGGCCATCCCCACAGGGGAGTGATTTCTCACTTTACTTCTCACTACCTCTCTTTCCCCAGCAAGCACATACACCCTATGACCAAAAAAAGAAAAAGAAAAGAAATTCAGAATCTACAATGCAACAAGATAACAAGATCCCCAAGTAGTACCTGTACACATTGAAGTTTGACGACTGCTATAGAATATGGAAAGTTCCATAATCAGGGAGACCCGAGGATTCAGAAGAACTGATATGACTTCTTTTCTCTATCACTCAGAGTGAGAGTTGAAACTACCACCAAAATTTTGAAAATCAGAAATAGCCAATGGGTAGAAGGTGGTTAGCATCTTAACGGTCAGCATTTTAATGTTTGGATTCATATTGACACTTTGAAAAGGGCTCAGTTAGAAGTTGTGTTGTGTTTAATATTACTTACAGGAAAAATATTTCTCATGACAGTCACTACTAGTGAGTCTTGCTACCCATTGAAAAGTGTCTAATAAACTTATTAACATACCACCCAGTACCTCCTACTCTCAAAGTGGAGAAAATAACCACTGGTTTCTAGTGTCTCTTCCCTACCCTTATCACATCCTTCAGGTACACCCAGCCTGGGTGAGGCTGAGGCTACTTTTTCTTCTAGTGCATCTGAGGAGAGAGAGAGAGATGAAATCCTATTAAATAATAGAATGCTTACTTTTGGACTTTCCATCTGTCCAAACTTAATCTCCTTTAAGGCTCTTGAGTTTTCAGACCTGTGAAGAATTTAAGAATCCCATAGTAAGAATCTTTTGGCAATCTTATGTTCCTCATGCTGTTAGATAGCTCTTTTTTTTAGAGAGAGAGAGATTTTTGCTATAGGATTTTGCTATAGATTTTGCTGTAGGGCACATGAACTTGTCAGAGACAGAAAGCGAGAAATCCCCCCACCAGGGGTTGGCTATGCCACAGTTCCTTCTCCTGCAGTCTCCTCCTGGAATTTTGGCATGTACACACATGCACCCAGCATGAGTTCCAAGCTGCCGGGTCTGGGATTTGAACCACAGTCAGCCATGTGGGAGTCCACCGATGTAACCATTACGCCATCTGCTGGTCCTGATAAATCTTGATGGATCTCATGAAAACTTAGAAAAATCAGGGCCAGCAGATGGTGTGGTGGTTGGTGCACTGGATTCTCACATTGCCGACCACAGTTCAAGTCCTGAACCTGGTGGCTTGAAAACATAACAAATAAATATCAGTAGATAAATAAATGGGTTTTTTCCCTAAAAGAAAGAAAGCATACAAAAATGGAGAGCTATAAATATTATGGACCAAATTATTACTAATTTTTCAGTCAGTTATGAAATGGTTAACGAAAATTTGTGACCAGCGAAGTAAGATTGCTGTACACTAGATGGGTGGAAACCAGTATTTTTTTGATGAAAGTTTATAAACTTATATTCATTTTGCAAGGGTACATAGGGTATTCCAGAGTGAAGAATCACATTTAAGAGGACAGATTGAAAAGGCTGTCTTTCATTTGCATGTTTTTTGGTCCATGCCACAGAGCGAAAGTGACCTCTTTAGTCCACTGTAGTGATACAAACTGGATATGTGAATGTGATCTCATGAGCACAGGTATCCGAGGCAGGTGGACTGTCTCTGGGATGTCTTGAACTGGCCAGTAGGGAATGCTTACATTAAAAATAATAATTTCCATCTAGGACAGAGAACAAGAACTGGAACAGTTGACTAAAGAACTGCGTCAAGTCAATCTCCAGCAATTTATTCAGCAGACAGGGACAAAAGTGACTGTTTTGCCAGCCGAGCCCATTGAAATAGAGGCCTCCCATGCAGACATAGAAAGGGGTAAGATATTAATAAATTTGCCTTTTTCCCCCTTCATTCTCATTAGTTAACTTTGAACAAACTGCTTGCATTTAGTTAAAAGTGTTATCCTACCTTGCACAGCTAATTTGTAAGTTAGCTACATAAAAGAATTTGACATACTTTCTGTTTGTGGGGAAAGTAAGTAACTGTTAGGTTATTTATCTACTTTGATGACCATGAAGTCACCAAAGCTCATACTATGAGTTTTAAACTGCCTCTTTTCTGTTTCCTGAAATATGTGTGAGTTATGGTCTGATCATTTGAATTTTAGCTTCTCTCTGTTCCTAAGGCCCCTTTTCTTCTCCTGAAAGTCTTTATTGTTGACTTTTGCTGGTATTCAAAAGACAGTTCCAAATCTGTGTGCGTGTATGGTCTGGACAACCAAGAAAGAAGAGAAAATACTCACCTTACTCACCTTTTAAAGATCATTCACTTTTCAAATCACAAAAAAAAAAAAAAACTGGCTTATTAAATAGACTCCCCTCTAAGGAGAGGCTAAAGCCTTCTCCCTTCCCAGGGTCCCCAGGGGTTTACAACCGTTGCTGTTTACATCCTTTGTCGGATTCTGTAGAGCAGGAAACGGTCTGATGCTCACGTTGTGGAGTGTTCCAAGTTGACGAGACTTCAAATGACTTCCTTTGTTTCTTGTTTAGAGACCCCATTCCAGTCTGGGTCCCTGAAGCGACCTGGTTCATCTCGGCAGCTCCCCAGTAATCTTCGTATTCTGCAGAATCCCATCTCATCTGGTTTTAACCCTGAAGGCATCTATGTATAACATTATCTGTCTTCACTGGGGCAGACCCAACACAGGTACCAAGGACAGTAGAATTCCTTCTTTGATTTGTGCCAATGATGAACAGAGGATGTATTTCACAAGCCACCGTATCTTTTTCTCTCCCACATTGCATACCACTTGGAGCCATACCCTGTGCACTGATGCTAAAGAACAAAGAAACTGTGTTTTCTCTCATCAACAGTGTTGACGTTTTTGTCCAGCAGCTGTAATGCAAAGCCTTCATTTTTCTTGTAGCATTTGGAGAGCATTAGGAAAGGATTATACTATGCGTATCCATAAATAAACCGTGACTTACGAGTGAAGAGACCTATGTGACTGGCTTAGTTTAATTTATTCCATGTAATCAATTAATGTGTGAATGTTGATGTTTTAATGTTTTTTATTAATACTAACCTTGTGACTTAATGACATTACATATTGTGTGATTATGACTGTGTGTGCATGTTGCCAGGCTCCATCCATGCATTGCTAATTTACAACCACACGAGTGGCAGAGGGTGCTCCACCATCAGAACGAACTCCAGAAGGACCCACTTGGGTTTATTTTATGAACCTATCCTAGCCTTTGCTTTAATTAGGTGAAATAATTCAGGTTTTCTTTTTAATCTGGAACTTACTCTTTCCTGTACATTATTTCCAAATAAATGAAGAGCCACTTAATGTATTTTTCATGAGGTAAATTGTATGTGTAAAAGATTTTCAGTGTTTCAGATACAATTAATTGGGCTGTCAGGAGAGTCGTGACACATTTTTGCATAGAAAAGCATGTCATGACTTTCCTAACAACCTAATACTAAGCAGAAATAAGATTGTTGAATGTCTAAGTAAACAGGCAAGGAGTTTCCCAGTAAGTTTTGTGTTTTGGTTTTGCCCTGCCTTATCATTTGCTCTCACGGTCCTCAGGAATGACATGGTATGTAAGTTACAGATGTGTGGGGACCAGTGTGGTCCACTTCAGGAATACCACTTGAGGTGATTAATTTTTAAATCACCCGCATCAGTTGTATGGTCTCTTAGCACATACACCTGTGGGTAATCACTGCTTGACCCAACACAGGTACCAAGGACAGTAGAATTCCTTCTTTGATTTGTGCCAGCCATGAACAGAGGATGTAATTTACTCTGTACGTTATGGACCGCTGTGATTCTTCCAGTCACTTAGAGAGAAAGTAGATTGGCATTTGGTACGTTTTACTACGGGAATAAAGTCAAATTCAGTGTGTGTTTTTAAACTTGACTTTCACAAGACATTAACTCGAGTCATTTGTACATATTTTATTTATAAAACCAAAAATGAATCTACACCTCTTCCATGAGTACTGACTTAACTAAGATTCACAAGTAATATTTTGACAAATGTGATCAGACACCTCTTAGCCATTTTGCATTCCCTCTGATCAAATTTGGTACAATATGATTAAGACTTTAATATGAAATTTAAAGCAGTTTTTAATTCTGAAGGAAATACATTCTTTGTATTATTTACAGCCAACAAAGTAAAAGTGGGTTAATATAGTAATGCCATGGTAACAATTAAAAGGTATGTCTTATGCATGAAGGCAACTTGGATGTTTTAACACGTTTGACTTATTTTTGGTTTAATGAATGCTGAGAATGCTGCTTTATTTAGTTTTCCTATGAAAAATGTTAAGAATGTCTATGGAGATATATAGAAGCTTCTAGAGAACTGAAAGTAATAATGCAGAGTTGCCTTTTCTAGTCCAGCTAAGTGGCAGACCTCAACTGAAGATACTATTTTCTTTGGAATTTTGGAGACCCTGAGTTAACCTTGCCATTATACTACTTTGCAAATAACTTGAGAAGTAAATGATTCTTACCTAAATAACCACAACTTGTGTACATTTGCTCTCAATTTATAGTGATGATTTCTTATCTACATATATTTTAAAATTAGAATAATTAAAAATCAAAATAATTTGTAGCTTTTGTGACCGTAATGATTTATGTATGCCCACTATGCCTTATTTTTAAAGAGTCCCATCCTATACTAAGAATCACATTGTTGTTCAGAGAAATTGAGACCTTATTCACAAAGAAAAACATTTTATAACTCGATCACATTCTATTTAAATCAAAATGTTAAGCTGTACATATATGAATCTTTGTATTTAGAAATTACAGATGCCTTGACATACCGTGAAACACAGTGTCAATATCTAACTTAATTACTTTAAAGAAAGGCAGGCAGCATCTTTCCAGTTTTGAAGCTACCAAATTATCTTCATGGGCCTCATTGCAAGTAGAAATCCGATTTCCTACGCGAGGAGAGTGTATCAATGTGAGCTGGATGAGTCCACTGAGCAGCTGTACTTTTTAACCAGCTATATTACTTCTGGAAACACATATCTAAGGCATATTTTCTAGGTCTTTTTTTTAAAATAGAGGAAGAACTCATTTCCAGAGGGACTTCTCAAAATACTTTCGTCTATTTGTGATCATTTCTCTCTGTGGCAAATACAGAGGAGCTAGGTTAAGTGCCACACCTTCGGGTACAGCTGGGGGGGAAGAGTGGACAGTAGCATACAAAAATACTACGTATGACATTTTGCACCTGCAGGAATATTCAGGTTCTAAACGCTAAATTAAATCATAAGTTGGTGTATTTTTTTAAAGTCATACTGTAGTTTTTATTGTGATTTTCTAAAAATATCAAATACATGAAAAGAGGTTTTTCCTTACCAAGGAATATTTGAAATAGTATTGATATGTTTGACCTTTTGAGTATCAGTCATTCTCAGAGAATGATTATAGTGAGTTGCCTCTGTCTTTCGTCTTGACGCACAGTGAATTTCTTACTTGTGAGCCTTCCATTAGTATCAATAAAGTTACCCATTTAATTTCCTCAGTCATCAGTGAACTAATCATCGATTCTTGTAGCTCAAATTAGGCATAAACAAGAGCTTAAACAAGACTGAGAGAGTTAATGTATATATAAAACAGTAAAAGAAACAACAGAATGGATGGTATGAGATGTGAGGGATAGCCAGTGTGTAAGAAAAACGAAGAAGCACTTGCTTCCACGGTATATATAAAATTTACAACTGCATTAAAAGATCATTTTCTTTGTGAATAAGAGCAAATGGTCTTTAAAGAAAAGAACTTTTCATTTAAAGCCATTTTGGTGAACATCTTTCCAAGTCAGAACTGTAATAGTCTGAGGAAATATTGCAGAAAAATAACATGCAAAAAAGCAGAAACCTCTGATTTTCGGCGTGCAAAGAGTGTAGGCATGTGGGCGGTTCCCGTTGTGCATTGCCTTTGAAAAATCGGGCCTTAATTTATATGTAAATAACCATGCCACGTTCTACCGAAAGCTGTCTTTATTAGTCTGTATGTATTCAAATGTAGCTCGTAAGTATTACTTTTATCTCATGTCCATTTTTTTAAGCTGCATGTTGATAGTATTTGCTACAGTATTTTTAAGTTCTGGGTGAAGGCCATCAGCTGTATCAGAAGGACAGAACAATCACTATTTACTCAGTATTGCTGCTTTCCCTTTTCAGAATAAGCTTTCAATGCCAGGACCGTGGTGGCCTGAAAGCTGCAGAAGCTCTTTCCAATGCATTTTATATATTTTTAGAAACCAAATAAATGCAGAAAACTATTTAGTATACTAATTATATTAAACCAGCAGAAATATAAAGGCAATAAAGTATATACATATATATATGGGGGGAGGGCAGAGGTTAAAAAATAGGTTTACAGTAGCCAGACATGGTGATAGCCCTAAATGTATTTCTCAGATTGTCTTTCTTTATTGACCCTAGGAGGATTTGAGTTGCTGCAGCTTTAAACAGAAAATTGCCACGTTCACTAATTGTGGACACATAAATATGCTTTTAGTACTGCTTTGCATATGTACAAATAAAAAATCTGTACTATGTATTATATGTAATTATTCTTTTCTTTTGACTTTCATTTCAAAATGTATATTTTATGATTATTATCATGAGCTGTAAAACAAAAGATCAATATCTGATATTCTCCCAAAAAATAAATTTTCAAGATTCATTGGGGCATTATAATTGTTGGTTTGTTTCTTATGTATTTAATATTTAAAATGTAATTTTATATTGGGCCAGTCCCTGGCCTGGTGGTTAAGGGAACTGGACCCCACATGGCCTTCCACACAGCTTGAGTCCTGGATTCAGCAGCTTGAAAAACATCTGATGGCGTGTGTGTGTGTGTGTGTGTGTGTGTGTGTGTGTGGCGAGAATCCCAAAAGGAGGGATAAATGGAGAAGGGATCGAAGGGATCACAGTGTGACCCCAGGGTGGGGCATGCCTTCTCTCTCTCCTTTTCTCTGTCTCTGGTAAGCACATGTACCCTCAGGCAAATTTTTAAAAATAGAGAATTTTACCTTTTAAAATGTCGAAGAGAATAGATGAACATATTCAGTGACACAAATTACATCTTTTCTAAATATAATGTTAATGGAGCCAGCAGACGGCGTGGTGGTTAAGGTGCTGGACTCCCACAAGGCTGGCCATGGTTTGAGTCCTGGACCTGGCAGCTTACTTTCTCACTTTCCCCCTCTCTGTCTGTCTCTCTCTGGTCAAATTAAAAAATAATGATAATAAAGTTAAATAAATATTTTTCAAATAAATATAACGTTAATATATTGGGTTGTCTATTTTTAAAATAAATATAACGTTAATATATTGGGTTGTCAGAGAAGTCATGATGCATTTTTTGCATAGAAAAATGCGTCATGACTTTTTTGAGAACCCAATATTTAAAGAATTACTATAGGGCCAACCCTGTAGCCCAGTGGATAGGGGAGCCAGATCCCACATGACCAACCCCTGTTTGAATCCCAGCCCTGGCATCTTGAGAAACCCACCGGGCATGCATGCACACCCCAAACCCAAGAGGATGCAGAAATGTGGGAGAGAGGATTGTGGCCTGACCACACCCCAGTTCTCGCTACCACCCTTGCCCTGGTCTCTGGCCAATGCACGTGCCCTCTAGCCACTTCAAAAAAAAAAAAAAAAGAAAAACAAAAATACCCTGTAGCTCAAAAGGTAGCTACTCCATCAAAGTAAAGGTGAATAAATATCCCTCCCATTTCAAAAGTGTAAACAAGTTTCTTAATCCATTTCTTAATCTCTTTATACCAATAAAACTAAATAAATAAACTTAATGTGCCTCCCTTTTATTTCAAAAGTGAAAGAAAAAATTACTTCTTAATGAGTCTCCAAATACCCAGATCTCCTGAAGTGAGAGCAAGAGAACTGTCATTCAGTACCTACTGCGTGGCAGGAGTGTACGAAGGATTCATCTCACTGCAACATGCACCACCATTTAGGGGTTTGTCCCTAAGCACACAACTAATGAGTAGCCGACCCGGCATTTGAATCTGAAGTTTCAGACCCCACAGTACTTCCTCTGTTCCACTGATAAAACTGCAGAAGCTTTCCAGTGTTCAGTTTCTGCATTTTAACCACTTTCAAATGTGGAAATGTATGAATTGTTATTTTTATTAAAAGTTCAATCTTGGGCCAGCAGTTGGCATGGAGATTAAAGCGCTGGATCTGACATAGCCAGCTTCATGGTTCAAGTCCCAGACCTGGTGGCTTGAGAATCACACAAGCACATATGCATGTGTTTCCAAAATCCCAAGAGGAGCATGGAGGAGAAGGGATTGCGGCGTGGCCATCCCCCCGGGGAGTGATTTTTCGTTCTCTCTCTCTCTCCTTCTCTCTGTCTCTAGTGAGCACACATGCCCTTTAGCAGAAACTACAACAAAAGTTAAAGTCTTTATGAATTTATTGATGATAATAGTATGCAATATGAATATGGATATATAAATATATGAATAATAGTATATAATTGTGTGGTATAAAAGCAAAGATAAAAAATGACTAAATAATTCAAAATATTAACTTTTCTATGTCCTATTTTAGAGCTTTTCAGTTTTCAGTGTCCGTTCTGCCCTCCAAAGCCCTGTGTTTTATTCATGGCAGAGCAAGAAAGAGGAACCCCTGGGCACTGGACTCTTCACCTCCCCACTTATTTGTGTTGGGTCCCTTTGGAAAGACCAGTGGAATTCTATAAAAGGGCATGAATATGCTGGACACGTTCATGCTTTCTACAGACCTTTCCTGAGTCCCTGTTGTGGACCAATTAGTATGATTTGTTCTCTACCTCAAGAAGGTTACCGTCTTAATGAGCAAAATGATACCTTCAGTATGTCATGCTAAGCACCATTAAAGGCATGGATAGAATGCCATGGAAACACACTCGGAAGGGTGTACCCCAGCCCAGGGTGTGGGAAGACCCTGGAGAAGGCGACAAGCCAGGGACAGCCATCAGGCTAGAGATGAGGAGCCTTAGCCAGAACAGTGGAGGACTAGGGAGGGCCAAAGGAGATGTAGGTAGGCACTGTGTCATGCCCAGGCACGAAGTTTGAGCCTCCCCCTGAGAATCACAGATTTGTAAGCGTGGAAATGAACTAATTAGATGAGCCAGGACAGAGGTACTGGTAACCTGAACTAAGAAAGTAGCGGTTGGAGTTTACTCCTTTAACAAACTTACGGAACACCTACTTTGTGCCAGGACGTTAAAGAACCAAGCAGGTTGTAGACGTTGCAACAGTAGTGAAAGGACCTGGTGTTTACATGGGGGTGCAGAATTAGAAGACTCGAACTCCAAGTATTCAACAGTTCTTCATAACATTAAAAAGCGGGTTGCAATGTCGCTGTGGGTCTCTTCGTGGTGAATATTCACAGCTTCTCTGTTCCGTGTGCTGGTGGACAAAAGATCAAGACAAAAGGAAGGAAGGAGAGAGAGTAAAGACATGCAGAGTAGAATATATTCGAGAGGTGGGCCTTCAAATGTGCATTCACCACCCCCCGGGGCCCGCATGTGGCACAGTGGTTAAGGCGCTGGACTCACACATGGCTGACCACAGTTCAAGTCCTGGACTTGGTGGCTTGAAATTCACTCTGGGCACACGTATGTGTGTGCGCAAAGTCCCAAGAAGAGATGGGATTGAGGTGTGACCATCCCTCCTGGAGACTGATTTCTCACTTCCCCTTTTTCTCTCTCCAGAGAGCCCGTGTGCCCTATGGCAAAAACCTAAAAAGGTAAAAATTTTGAAGTCATTTCCCCTTGCAGAATGGCTCTGCAGGGCACCTTGTGAGAAGGGTATGGCTCAGGGAAATGTTCTTCGCACCGGGTTGAAACACAGGAGCCCCTTCATCCAGTCTGCTGGAATACCACTTCCCGGCATCACACCTGACTGTGGCCGTCTGCCACTTTGGGTTCATTGCCGTGCGTATGTACCCCAGGTGACAGATGGACCAGATGGGGCCCAGAAAGGAAGTGAAGAAGGTGGGCAGTACCCACTCCTCTCTCCGCGCAGCGTCAGTATTTACAGGTTTCCCAGAGCGAAAATCAAATGAATTGGGATACTTAATAATAAAAAATGTTTAAAGCATAAAACAAGTCATAGACACTCTAAGTACCCACTCCTCTCTCCGCGCAGCGTCAGTATTTACAGGTTTCCCAGAGCGAAAATCAAATGAATTGGGATACTTAATAATAAGAAATGTTCAAAGCATAAAACAAGTCATAGACACTCTAAGCAAAGGACACGAAGACCAACACGACCACACAGGGAGACTGAGGAGAGCAGGGAGAAGTGCAGAATGCACCCCGGAACCAGCTCACCCAGACAGGGCAGGAAATCAGGAAAGCTCCACTGAGGAGATAGATAAGGCTTTTGAAGAGCAAATGGGGGACCAACATGTGGTGTAGTGGTCACGTCACTGTACTCCCACATGGCTAACTGCGGTCCGAGTCCCAGACATGGTGGCTTGAAAATCACATCGTGTGCATGTGTGTGCGTGCCCAAGATCCCAGGAGGAAAATAGAGCCCACTCTCTCCTCTCTGTCTTTCCCCTTCTCTCTGGCAAGTACATGCGCCCTAAGGGGGTGGGGGGGGAGAAACCTTTCCAAAAAAGTGAGTAGGCTTTCTCTCAGTTGTGTATTGGATGCTTAGACACTGGAGATACAGCAGTGAACAAAAACATTGCAAATCTCTGGCCACGCGGAGCTTATGTTCTAGAGAGAAAGACAGATGTGGAACAGAGAAGTAAAGTGTATGGTATCTTCAGTCACGATAAAAACTAAGAAGAAAAAGGAGTAAAAAGGGGTAGGAAGTGCCGGAAGTTAGGTCAAGGGTTGCGATTTTATATAGGTGGCCTGAGAAGACCTCTCTTAAAAGGTGACACTGGAGTAAAAGCTTAAGGGAATGCGGGCAAGCTGTGGGAAAATGAAGAGGGGCTGTCAGTCACATCGTGTGCATGTGTGTGCGTGCCCAAGATCCCAGGAGGAAAATAGAGCCCACTCTCTCCTCTCTGTCTTTCCCCTTCTCTCTGGCAAGTACATGCGCCCTAAGGGGGTGGGGGGGGAGAAACCTTTCCAAAAAAGTGAGTAGGCTTTCTCTCAGTTGTGTATTGGATGCTTAGACACTGGAGATACAGCAGTGAACAAAAACATTGCAAATCTCTGGCCACGCGGAGCTTATGTTCTAGAGAGAAAGACAGATGTGGAACAGAGAAGTAAAGTGTATGGTATCTTCAGTCACGATAAAAACTAAGAAGAAAAAGGAGTAAAAAGGGGTAGGAAGTGCCGGAAGTTAGGTCAAGGGTTGCGATTTTATATAGGTGGCCTGAGAAGACCTCTCTTAAAAGGTGACACTGGAGTAAAAGCTTAAGGGAATGCGGGCAAGCTGTGGGAAAATGAAGAGGGGCTGTCAGGGCCACATAGCCCACATTGGGCTTCAGTAAGAGATTGTTAAATGCCTGGGAAGCGTGTGGAGTCCAGCTTTCTGTTTCTAAGCAACTGGCTCAGCGTACAGGCCTTTTCCTGGCTGGGAGCTAGTAACCCTTTCTACCAATTACTGGATCGATCTTCTCAAACGTAATAGAGTGCAAAAAGGAGATTTTAAAGATGGTTAGTGTTTAAATCTGAATTATCCTTAATCCTGCACAAATTAAAAATAAATTTATAGGTAAGT